GAACAGGGGGTCACAACCTCGCTGGCCTGTCTGTCACGCAATTTATTTGAAGGGGAAAACCTGACTCACTTCAACAGGACTATGTCTTTGTTTGTTTGTTTGTTTGTTTGTTTCTAATTTGGAGACAGGGCCTTACTATGCAGCAAGGACTGGCCTGGATCACAGAGATCCTCTTGCCCCATCCCCCAAAAGTGTTAGCATTGTAGGCAAGCACCATCATTCAAACATTCAAACCAGATTGCACTCAGCTGGCCTCAGCCTGGGAGAGTCCCACAGGAACCAGCCTGGGTGGGTTAGCTCTGGTGTAAGCACTCATAACAAGGGAGCCTCTGAGTGCTCATCTACGGTTGGAGCAGAAAAGTGCCAGAGTCTTCAGGGTGGCCCTACACCACGCATGGGCTCAGTCTACCAATGGCAGTCTGCCAGCCAATACTCTCATCCAAACCTGGTCCCATCAGCCCTAGGACCTTCTGCTCTTCCTGAGAATCACACTAAGACTCCGGTCAGGAGCCATCCAAAGTACCCTCACTTGGTTTGCAAGTCCTACTGAAATGTTAGCAATTCAGTGTAAGTCTCTCTCTGTGGGCCAGGACATTCCTCCCCTTCTTGATTCTTAGCTCACACCTCCAGGCTCTCTGTGCTCCTCCCCCTGCCTCACACCTCCAGGCTTTCTGAGCTCATGCCCCTGCCTCACACACCTCCAGGCTCTCTGTTCTCATGCCCCTGCCTCACACAGCTCCAGGCTCTCTGTGCTCATCCCCCTGCCTCACACCTCCTTTCCTGGGTCTGGACTTCCCTTCAGGTTGTTTTCTAGGCAATTGCCACACCCTAACTAAATGCTAGGAGAGCATGAATGACACAGTTCAGGAATGTGGTCACTGCAAGGCATGAGACAAACAACATGTCACACAGCCCCCTCGGGAAATGAGCTCCTTTTCTGGCTGGCTCATCTTGGGGGCGGAGCTCCCCTGGATCCCTGGGACTATGTTCCTGTCTCACTATTCCTACAAGTCACCGCTCACATCTGGATACAAGCTAGGCACTTTACGTTCATTCACTCATTCATTCATTCATTCATTCACCTTTGTCTTTTCACACCTTCACGGATAACAATGGATTTCTGCTCTGATTATATTAACCATATCCTGTAGGTGCATGTAAGTTTTTGTTCTTCATTCTCTGCAAAAAAATTATGGGAGCAAACCCTGGCTCGGCCTTCCCACGGGGCCCGAGCTGGGCCTCCTGGAGGTGAGGTGAGTCAGTCAGTCCAGCAGTATGATGCCGAAGCCAGAGACTGGGGGGTGGGGCAGGGTCAGAGTGGGGCGAGGAGTCCTGCCACTTTGGGGATTGGTTTGCTATTTGCACGTTTCTGCACTATGCTACTTTTGCCATTACCTACCGTTTATCGTAACTACACGGGAGGGCGGGAGGGTGCAGCCGTTGCTTTTTGTGTCACTGCAGAAAGCAGACGTGAATAAACAATTGATGAAAGGTGGTGAGCAGGGTCAGGGGCTCGGCTTTGTAAAAAAAAAAAGAAAGAAAGAAAGAAAGAAAAAAACATAAAATCCATCTGGGGAGTCATTTCCCAAGTATTCTAGGGATGCTACACCTAACATGAGAAGAGGGTGTGGCGCTCTCTTGAACCAGAGGGCCTTGGGCACAGGGGCTCCTCCTCTTCTGGGGAGTCTCAAACTTCTCCAATAACTTGAAAGCAGCATGAGTTATTACCCAGGATTTATCTTCAAAGAATGCCAATTACAGAAAGTGGTAACCGGAATCCCCCGTTAGACAGAGGAAGGGGGGGGCAGGTTCACAAGATTTATACCTTTCCCTAAATAGAACAGGCACCAAGGGAAAGCAGCATCATGGTGGCCCAGCTGAGTTCAAAGGCTTGGTCCCAGAGCTTCAAAGTTTACCCCAGTAACCAACTGGGTCTCGGCTATGCCTGTGTGAGCTAGACTGCACATGTACACACTGCTGTGGTGTGCAAAATGCCTTCTCTGTTTTTGGGAAACTATGAAATAAGGAATTCCTGTTTGGAGTGCTCCCAGTTTTGAGCCATTGTGGGACCATGCAGCCCTCGCCCAGGTGAACACGTAGAGACAGGTCCCCTGTCCCCCAGCTTTCAACACTCGCATGTGCCGTGCTGAGGCCCTCCTAGGGCCGGCTCTGTGTGGCCTTGCCGGCTTCATTCCTTCCCACCGTTCCACACGTTACACTCCACTCTGAACCCCTTCCTGTCGTGTGGCCCACCATTCTTCGTCAGCGCTGCAGCTCACCGTGGCCCAGGGGCTATTCATCTCAGCAGGACTTTCTCTCTAGAGGTAAGGGTCAGTTGTCACCTTGCGCTGGGCCATCCACTTTGGGGTCCTGAAGGGCAGGTACTCCCAGGGGACCCTTACTGCACTGTTCTCCTTAAGAGACCTCAGTGCTGGCGACTGCCTGATGTGACTGTTAACTGTCAACCTGAACCTGATGACATCCAGAATCAGCCCTTGGGGACGGGGGACACTGATAGGTTAGCTGAGGTGGAGATCCTGGTCTGTGTAAGAGGGAGACAGCTGCTGAGCACAGTCACTACTTCTTCTCTTAATAATTTATTTATTTTAATTTTATGTGCATTGGTGTTTTGCCTGCATGTATGTCTCTGTGAGGCTGTCAGACCTTGGAGCTATGGGCAGTTGTGAGCTGCCATGCGTGTGCTGGGAATTGAACCTGGGTCCTCTGCAAGAGCAGCCAGTGCCTTTAACCACCCAGCCATCTCTCTAGCCCCGCCCCCCAGTCACTTCTTATAGATGGAAGTTTCTGTCCTGCCTGGTCTGTTCAGTTCCAAATAAACACACAGAGCCTTATATTAATTATAAACTGTTTGGCCTATGGCTCAGGCTTATTAATAACTAACTCTTACAACTTAAATTAACCCATAATTCTTATCTGTGTTCAGCCACATGGCTTGGTACCTTTTCTCAGTAAGGCATTCTCATCTTGCTTCCTCTGCGTCTGGCTGGTGACTACCTCTCTTTCCTCTTCCCAGAATTCTCCTAGTCTAGTATCCCTGCCTGTACTTCCAGCCTGGCTACTGGCCACTCAGCATTTTATTAGACCAGTATAAGTGACAAATATTTGCAGTGACAAGTGACAAATCTTTACAGTGAACAAGAGCAATCATCCCACATTCATTTGTCATTCTCTGCTTCTGACTGAGGAGGTCCTGTGCCCAGCCGCCTCCCCACCATCACAGACTATAGCCTTGAACTGTGGGTGGGAATGAACCCTTTCTTCCTTAAGTGGTTTTTGTCAGAGTATTTTATCCCAGCAGCAGAAAGAGGAACAGTAATGCAAGATTATAAGGTACTAAAATGTCACGATATCATGTAAAAAGCAAATGGACCATGAGATGGCAGAAGGAAGGTGCCCAGTGTAACAGGGTGATGCTGTGACACAGACATATTCACCTGGGTCCCTGCCTAACGTGACACAGACGTCAGGGTCATGGCTATCCGTTTTGGCACCTACGTAGCACCAGAGTTTGGACAAGGGCTCTACTCTATTATTTCTTGAAGGGACTCCAGAACACTCATGTGGTGATCTTGCTTTACAAAGTAGGGTCCAAGAGAATGAGTGAATTAGCAAGGAACCAACAACTAAAGTCCTTCTGCCACCAAAGCCTGTGTCTCTCTATGAGCTTTGTGCTTAAGGGGACACACACATTAGGCTTCACTCAGAAGGAGGCAGGTGCTAAGACTCCTTTGAGAATTGGGTGGTGGCGCACGCCTTTAACCCCAGCACTCAGGAGGCAGAGGCAGGTGAATCTCTGAGTTCAAGAACAGCCTGGTCTACAGAGTGAGTTCCAGGACAGCCAGGGCTACACAGAGAAACTCTGTCTCGAAAAATTAAAACAAAATTCCAAAACAAAAACAAAAACCAAAACCAACAACAACAAAAGATCCCTTTGAGCACTTTGTTAGTTTCACACAACCTGGAGCCCTGTGAGTCTATTGGATTCTGCATCGTCTGAACCAGGAAGGAATCAAGAAGCAAGGTCCAGCTAAACCTCACCAGGGAGAGCCAGAGTCCCCAGGTCTCAGCTTCCAGGAGATGCAGAAAGCTCAGAGATGACAAGGGAAGCCAAGATCATTGCTATGCTCGATCCAGTATGCCCAAGGAGCCAAAGTACCTGTGGAACTGAGATCTGAATGTCATAGTCTAACACACAGATGACAAAATGGGAGGTCCCTCTGTCATTGAGCATATCTGGAAGACGGCAGCACCACACAGGCTGTCACACTAAGGTCACTGGAAACCCAGCCATCCTTCTGCTCATATTCAATACAGTTCCCACAGGTCGGTCCCACACTCAGTCCTGGCCCAGGGATGGGTGGGCACAGGAACCTGCTGGATGGCATGTGTCCCCTAACCCTGCTCTGGGGACATTCTGAAAGAGACCTGCCTAACTAGGTTGTCTCCTGGGAGCCGATATCTGGGACCCTTTTACTTGGGACAACTTGAATTTGTGTTCCCTTCAGCCTGTACTTGGCAACATGGAATGTATCTGTTTGCCAGCACCTGCCTTTCGTAGGCCCACGTGGGAAGCAGCCAGTGGCACTAGTTTCATTTCCCATAGCATGAAGTCAGCACATGGCAACCTGTGGGCTCCTCTGCCTCCTGTAAAACTGGGCTCTAAAAAAAGGCAAAGCCAACCAAAGTGGCGCAACAACAGCCCTTCCCACCCACGGGCTGCTCAGCGGGTATCTTTCCCACCCACAGGCTGCTTAGTGGGTGCCTTTCCCACCCACAGGCTGCTTAGCGGGTGCACACAGGACCCCGGTTTTCCCTTGGAGCTCAGGGAACACATAAGACGCATGGGTTTCTCTCTGGAGTAATCTCTCCATGGAACTCAGGGCCCAAGGTACTGCATTCCAACTCTGAATGAAATAGCATAATTTTTCTTTATGTATTTCTTTTTCCTATAAAAGAGAAAGAAATATCCCCACAGCACCACTCCCAAGGCCACACAACCTTTCTAAAAATCAGCAGTAGCTCAGTCTGTTCACCCTGCCATTATTGATACGGACATAAATTCTCCAGTCTATATCATGGGTGCATTTTCCATGCTCGTGGAATATATTTCATCATTTAATACTACACTATGATAAATGAGGTCCGCCACAGCTATTTCTTCACAAACACAACTCATGCCCATATCTTATGCAAACTCAATATTCATCAGGCTTAGCGCTCTCACAGTCAACACAGACTGATGGTAATGGAAGCTGAAGGAGGAGCCTCCCAGCACCCCAACTTTTCTGTCTGTCTTTCCCAGCTTTTCTGTCTTTCCCAGCTTTTCGGTCTGTCTGTCTGCCTCCATCGCGAAGGGCAGTGCACTCTGTGCCCGTTGCTTCTGATTTTATTTCTCCCACTCTCTGAGTCACTGGGTCTTTTGAGGATGAGACAAAAAGGGGCTGGAAAGGGCACAGCCTAGGACATCTGGCCGTGGCTGTCCCTGTCCTCTGATTTGCTTCTTGGTGACCACCTGGTCACCAAGAAATTATTGGCTGCCCTTCTCCCAAAATGGTAAAACCCTCACTATAGCTATAGGACTCATCTGCTGCCTGCCAAGAAGGACACATGCAGCTCCCGTTCTTCATCCCGGGTACCAATGACCAGCACTGGGATGTGAGAAGAGGATGCCTCAAACTCCCTGTCAAGTTTGGGGGGTCTGACAGACATTGTAACCACACTGTTGCTAGAGGACTCTTCCATGTTAGGAAGGTTCCCCGACCCCCACGTCCGTCCTCCCCAGCGCTCACGTCACTGCAGTGTGGTGCTGGGAGACTGGGCCTAGGGAGAGACACAGTCCTGGAGACGAAGTGTTCCCCTCCTTGTAGACTCTTTTGGGATACAGTCTTAATAGAGATTTAAAGGCAGAAAGTCTTCAGGGCACTCTTCACAGTCACCTTTCTGCCGAAAGAGAGCTGTGAAGATGGTTGTTGGCGAAGCATTTCAGAAGGTCTCAAACCCAAACACAGCATAATCGGCCACGTGTCTCATGCAAACGAGAAGGCAGCAGCATCTCCCGGGGCATCATGGGATCTAATCACCTCAGAACCTCGACTCCAGGAGCAGCTGCCGCCTGAATCCAGAAGAGTCAGCCACGGGCCCGCCGCAGGACGGCGCCTCGACGCCCGTCAGACTGCTTATAAATTTATAATGATTTTGTATAAGAGCATTACATTTTAATAGTTTCAAGGAATGACAGGATAGACTGTATAAATGTTTAACTAGCATTGCCCCGCAGTCTACACTTTGTTTATCTCATTACTGGGTGTGTGGAAATGAAAAAGCCTAAAAATGTCATCAAAATCGGAACAGAACTTGGCGAACAAATGCCCTATGCAAGACCGTTTTCTAGCCCTAAGGCAATCCGGCAGCTTCCCGCAGATAAACACCTGGATCTCATTTAACTTCCAGGTACTTTCCCCCTTACATGCAATTTAAATTGCTTATCATTTTGACCTTGGTAAGATGAAAAACGCATGCTATAAAATTCAGTGTGTTTCCATATTTAAGGCCACCCCGGGGACAAGCCTGTCCCCTTGGGCTCCATGCCTAACTGCTGGTGATGTTACATGATTTCCTATAAGGAACGGGATCATCTAAGACGCATCAAGTCTCATTAAGATGGGGCCCAGGTGTGGCAAGCATTGGAGTGTTTCAGACACGCAAATGAGGCCTGCAGCCTCCTTGGAGGAATACAATTGATTTGCTGTTGTCAACTGTGTCATCTGCCGCCCATCTCTTTCTTCACAACTCTCCTAGCTCCCAATTTTCAGTGACCATGGTGGTTCCTTTTAGGTACATTTGTTCACAGAGATCCCAAAAATACGGACTTACTTTATTTTATTAATGTTAGGATAGGCAGGTATAAACCCTATGCCATCTAAACTGGAGCAAAAAGGCAGTTGTGTGTGTGTGTGTGGGGGCATGTGACTACTGAGAGTCCTGGGTGGGACAGTGTGAATAGTGAGAGTCCTGTGTGGGACAGTGAGAGTGGTGAGAGTCCTGTGTGGGGACAGTGTGAGTGGTGAGAGTCCTGTGTGGGGACAGTGAGAGTGGTGAGAGTCCTGTGTGGGGACAGTGTGAATGGTGAGAGTCCTGTGTGGGGACAGTGTGAATATTGAGAGTCCTGTGTGGGGACAGTGTGAATAGTGAGAGTCCTGTGTGGGACAGTGTGAGTGGTGAGAGTCCTGTGTGGGGACAGTGTGAATAGTGAGAGTCCTGTGTGGGACAGTGTGAGTGGTGAGAGTCCTGTGTGGGACAGTGTGAGTGGTGAGAATCCTATGTGGGGACAGTGTGAATGGTGAGAGTCCTGTGTGGGACAGTGTGAATAGTGAGCGTCCTGTGTGGGAGCGTGTGAATAGTGAGAGTCTTGTGTGGGGACAGTGTGAATAGTGAGAGTCCTGTGTGGGACAGTGTGAATAGTGAGCGTCCTGTGTGGGAGCGTGTGAATAGTGAGAGTCTTGTGTGGGGACAGTGTGAATAGTGAGAGTCCTGTGTGGGACAGTGTGAATAGTGAGCGTCCTGTGTGGGAGCGTGTGAATAGTGAGAGTCTTGTGTGGGGACAGTGTGAATAGTGAGAGTCCTGTGTGGGACAGTGTGAATAGTGAGCGTCCTGTGTGGGAGCGTGTGAATAGTGAGAGTCTTGTGTGGGGACAGTGTGAATAGTGAGAGTCCTGTGTGGGACAGTGTGAATAGTGAGCGTCCTGTGTGGGAGCGTGTGAATAGTGAGAGTCTTGTGTGGGGACAGTGTGAATAGTGAGAGTCCTGTGTGGGACAGTGTGAATAGTGAGCGTCCTGTGTGGGAGCGTGTGAATAGTGAGAGTCTTGTGTGGGGACAGTGTGAATAGTGAGAGTCCTGTGTGGGACAGTGTGAATAGTGAGCGTCCTGTGTGGGAGCGTGTGAATAGTGAGAGTCTTGTGTGGGGACAGTGTGAATAGTGAGAGTCCTGTGTGGGACAGTGTGAATAGTGAGCGTCCTGTGTGGGAGCGTGTGAATAGTGAGAGTCTTGTGTGGGGACAGTGTGAATAGTGAGAGTCCTGTGTGGGACAGTGTGAATAGTGAGCGTCCTGTGTGGGAGCGTGTGAATAGTGAGAGTCTTGTGTGGGGACAGTGTGAATAGTGAGAGTCCTGTGTGGGACACTGTGAGTGGTGAGAGTCCTGTGTGGGACAGTGTGAGTGGTGAGAGTCCTGTTTTGTTTCCGGCTGTTTGTTAGGACACTTTTCACTTTTCAGTCATTTCTGTAATGCCCGACTCCGTGTACCTCTAAGGTCACAAGCTGGCTACTAGGTCAGCAAATGAAAACAAAGACTCAATTTTCCTAAGGTAACAAATGTTCCTCAGGTCCACGTGGAGGTAAAGGCGACTTGGCCAGGCCTTCCTGGCAGAGCTGAGACTCCGGCCTGTTGCTAGGGTAAGCATTGCACTCTGTCACAAGGATCTCAGGAATAAACACGGCCACCACAGGGCTTCGCCAAGTGTGAGGGCATCTCATGAGCTGTGGGCATGACACACCTCCGGGAGTATCGGCACTGAGTGGAGCTGGTAGGAAGGGATGAGAACTGTTAGATACCCATTTACAGGAAGTCTGCTTCCTGAACTGTCAGCGCCTCAGAGTTGGACACTAAACAGGGTGCTGTTGGCTTCCTCAGAGCCGTGAGACTCTTGTCTGAGCTTGCTCATCTCTCCCAATGTCCTGCACATAGTAGGACTCATACCCGGTGCTGGCATTTGTGACTGGAAATGGCTCCAGGAGAAGTCTGATGTGCACCAACTCAACACCAACCTTCCAGGAGACATGTGCCTGACAAGCAGGCTACAGATCGAGCAATGATGAAAACAGGTGAGCAGGTGTGTGAGCGAAGGGTTGGGGGGGCTCCACTTGTTCACACCCTTCCTCCAGGTCTCAGTTTGGACATTCCCTCCTGAAGCAGCATCCTGACTGACTGAAGAGCCCTGAGGTCAACATGAGGCGGGCCGGCATGAGGAAGCACCAGGCTGGGGAAGGCACCGATGGCCCTTTCAGACTGTAGAGACACAGCCAAAACAAAAATCAGTCCCAGTTTGAAGGTGACTTAGAAGCTGGCAGCTGCTGCAGTCCCCGGGGGCCGACAGGTCAGAGGAGGTGGGGGTCTGGGACGCAGCGTCAAGCAAAGCATTTACAGACAGCAGAGGAGCCGGTGGAGCTCAGAGGAGACACCGGACGGGAGCTTGACCACCGTGAGGTAGATGCAGAGAGAACTGAATGAGAGAACGTGACAGGGTGGATGCTTGGACACATTTGTAAGGATTAGAGAATTGTAAACTTTCATTTGACTGAGAGCAAGTCTACGCGGTAAGACAAAATGTGGCAAAGGGTAGACACGGACCCAACGTGGCGACTCTTCTCACCATTGTTGGAGGGGGCGCTCAGACACAGACTCTCCTCCTCCTGTGTGACCGTAGGCCTGACATGTGCTATTCTCTGGGGAAGCAGGCAACGGGATCCAGATGGAACCACGGAGAGGTCCACAGCTACCCGTCAAAGTACACTATCCCTGGGAGATTTATCCAAGCCACAGCATGTCTGTGAGGTGAGTTTTATATCCTCATACTAGTGAGAACTAGATTAAAGACGCTTTAATGGGTAGCAGACTACATGTTTTTATTATTTTGTTCTAGACAGGACTTTTGTTTTGTTTTGTTTTTGAAGCAGGGTCTCATGAAGCCAAGACTGGCCTTGAAGTCGCAAGTCACTTCGTAGGGACGGATGACCTGGCTCTGCCTCCCTCAAGCTGAGGTTATGGGCATGTGTTGGCACAATGGTTCACTGGGAGACCGTTTAGAACAGCGTTTTATTTGACAGTGGGCTTGTGAATGTTCTCTCGCTCTCGCTCTTTTGAGTGTGAAACAGTCATAGGTGGTCAAGTTCCTTCCTCATCGTGACACAATGGATTTGCATTAATACAAGTTCCTGCCATGAAATATTTATGAGGACGGACTCTGTGGGTGTTTTCATCCGTATAATGCAAGGACTTCGGCCTGCTGGCAAAGCAGTGTCACGGAGCACGCCTGCAGGTGAGGACCCGGTCCATCACAGTGTCCCTGAGTCGGTGTGACCTCAGAGCACTCAAGCAGCCAGGCCGAGGGGAGCCTTGCCCAAGGGAGTTTTGCAGGTGGGCACACCACTCTGTGTGGTGGCTCCTTTGAGGCCCACAGGTCTGATGCCTTGATTAACTGAAGAGCCCACTCTCCTGGCCTGTCACATGGCAGGACATCACATGTGAGAGCCACAGGCCTGGACTGTGAGCCTGTTTAAAAAGGGCTGCCCTGAGGTCAAAGCCGATCACAGCACACAAATCTGCAGGCTGTGTGATGGGACAAAGTAATTGGGGGGTCTCCTCTCCTCTCCCTCCCTCCTCTCTCTTTGTCTTTCTCTCCCTCCCCTCCCCTCCATCTCTGAGGAAACCCCACTTGAACAGAAAAGGCAGAGTCCCATTGGTGACTGACGGGAGGGAGGTGACAGTCCAGCCGGGACAAAGAGGACAGTTGCTGAAGAGCTTTCACTGGTAACAACACTGAAAGTAACCCAGGGGTTCTGCCCGCTCTGCCTTTGGGGGCAGACGTCACATTATTCACTACGAGTGATAGCTAAATGCTAAGTATCTGCTCAGGACAGAGGCAGGACTATCACAGAAGTTAGAGGCCAGCCTAGACTATGTAGTGAGTCTGAAGCCAGTGGGGCTACAGAGCGAATTCAAGACCAGCTGGGCTATAAACACACACATACACACACACAGAGAGAGAGAGAGAGAGAGAGAGAGAGAGAGAGAGAGAGAGTCCAGGTTCAAATCCTGGCTTTTCCACACGCCCCTCTGGCCTCCCACACGCCCCCCTGAAACTATAAAATGGAGCTGACACTGTTCTCCAGTGCTACCACATGACTCGGCTCGATGGCCACACTGGGCGCAGCTGGCTCTACACGCTATGACTCATACACTGAGCACCACCACGACAGTAACCGTGAAGGAAACCACTTCTTGGCCTTTAGTCCAGGCTGAGGACCTCATCAGCCTGGGAGAAGTGCTCGGCAGGGAAGACTTCACTCCAGCTCACAGAGCTTCCCAGCAAGCTTAGTGCAGTGTGCCCCATGTCACTCCCCACAGCTGAGGCCCTTCTCCAGCCTTTGTAGTGGTAATGGACTCCCTCAGCCTGAGCTCTGCTGAGCAGTGGACTCCCCCATACCAAGCTGCCCATCCTCAGGATGCCCCAGGGCCACTGATGAGACACAGCCAGAGGCTCCAGCTCTCCATGGCCGTGCAATTAAGCCTAACAAGGCACAAGGTACTCTCTGGGGGGCACACAGAGATGCCCACAGTAATTGGTAACAGTTCTGGCTCCCCAGTTGCTGGGGATTATGAACAGGCAGCAGGAAAGGGCTGTGGAAGGGTCAAGACCTCGAGGGAGGCCAGATGGGGTCACCTGCACTCATACATAAGTAATCAGCTCGCCGATGGCCCTGAGCTCTTCTGAGCAGGGCACAGCGAGGCCGATCCCGTCTCTGGTTTTGAGACTGTGATGAGCCTCCTCTAGGCTGGCCCACACTTCTTCCCCACATCTATGGCTGCAATCATCGTCATCCTCACAGGGGACAGCATCTCAAGGCATGTTTAGCTCCCCTGTCACTGAGCCCTGGGCAGAGGGTGTGTATGCAAATGGAATCATCGGCCCCTACTGAGGGAACCAATGGTGGGAAGCACGTGTTCTGCGTGGGTCATGTGACTGCCTTTTACACGGTGTGTGGTTATCTGCATACATGTTTGAGAGAGTGTTCTCTACTTCAAGCTGTGACGGACACTTCCACCATTCTGTCCTGTACCCCTCTGAGTGGTCACATGGCGAAGCACTCAGCCTTGAGACGGTCAGTGGTACACCCAAGGACACACACTGGGTGAGGGTGTCCTCTCTATGTCTGGAAGGGCTTGTTTGGGCTCAATGGAAGCACTCCTCCTGCCCCTGTTTCCTGATTTCACCCCGGCACTGACCAATGGCAATGGCGGCATGCTTGCTGCATGCATCAGCAGGTATTGCCAGAACATCGGAGGGAACCTGGGATTGGGACCAGTGTGTCCTCTGGGTTTGTCAGTTCACTCCTTTCTTGAGACTTGTCTAGCACTGCTCCAAGGCTCCCTGTGTGTGGATTCTCTGCCAGATCAACTAGGCTTTGGGGACACAAGACCCTAACAGAAACATCCATCTGAAATGTCCTGACCATTTCCCAACAAGTGGGGTGAGGGGTGTTTAAATGGAGGTGTGAGCAGGCCTTCTAGAAATCAGTGGGAGGACACCAACCTGTGCAGTGCCCTCCTCCTGGCAAACCACGGGTTCTGCATGGGATGGATTACACAGCCTGGGCTCCGGTCGAGGCTGGCTCTCAGGCTTGTCTCCCATGCATCCGTGCAGGGTTAACAAGAAAGCACCTTCCCCACAATGCTGATGGCAGCACAGAAAGCACCAGGGGGCCTCGTTAACCCTGCCATAAGGCTTAAGGAACCTGGTAGCTATGCTATGCAGCCACAGACCAGGAGCAATTCTTAGCAAGAAAGGACTGGAGTCCTGTCACTCCAGTGCACCAGGAGCCGTGCCAGAGGCAGGGCCACCAGCATCTCCTATCTGGCTCCTGAATCCCTATGTTCTTCATGCAGAGTCACCAGCAGCCAAGGTGGAAACTCTACAGCTCCTGTCAGTGCCTGTGAGGATGCTGACACCTCACTTCAGAGAAAGAAGAAAATAAAATAGAAAAGATGGCAGAGCCATTCGCGGCCCAGAGCTCTGATGGAAACTCAGTGAACCACATCCACCATCACATTCCCATATCTGGGATGCATTTCACATGCCAATGTGTTCTACAACAGGAGCGCAGAAAGTCCTGCATAGCGGGAAAATAAGATAACAAAGGTTTCTATTGCAACTACAATCTTTATCTGCAGGAATGGGGCTGACCAGCCAGCTCTGGGGTAAGAAGCTTGCTGTACACAGGTCTCCCGGGTACCCATGCAGAAGCTGGGAGTGGCAGTGTGTGCCTGTAATCCCAGTGCTGGTGCTGGGGTAGGGAGGTAGGGAGGGGGAGGGATGGAGAGAGGGAGAGAGAGGAGAAAGAGAGAGAGAGAGAGTGAGAGGGAGAGAGAGGGAAAAAGAGGGAGAGGGAGAGAGAGAGAGAGGGAGAGAGAGAGAGAGAGAGAGAGGGAGGGAGAGAGAGACCCAGCATCAACCCCAGCCACCACATGGTACATGGGCATACCCGCCTCCTCCCGGGTACACACACACAACAGGGTTATTTTCACCAGCACCAATGGAAAGATGACTGACTCATTCGACCATGTCAGATAAACTAAAAATATCAATTAAATTAGGGCTGAACTTCCCAGTGGAAGCTGTAAATCACCTCCCGCCCCAACAATCCCATTGCAAGGTGAGTTTCTCAGGAGCCAAGTGGAAGGTGCCCCCCGGTTAATGTCAACGAAGGTGTGCTATCCGTTCCACACACGTCCAACCCAGAGAAAATCAGAGCACTGGAGACAAAAGTAACCACTCTACAGTCACAGAGGCTGCAAACAGGAAGCAGATTCCCCACCTGTGGTCTCTGAGTGACAGTCTCTGGGACATGGGTCAAAAGTCATCACACTTCTGAGCCTAAAGGCAAGTTTTTTATATTTTTTTACTTAATGTGCATGTGTGCTTGTAAGTCATGACACATGTGTGTGTGTGTGGGGGGGGGTCTGAGAACAACTTTGGGGAGTCGGTTCTCTCCTATCATGTGGGTTCCAGGGACTGAACCCATTTAACAGCTGAGCCCTCTCACCAGCCTGCCTTATCTTAGATTATCTTAGATTATCCTCTGTGGCTGGAGACTACTCGGTGACCACACTCTGGGCCTTCACTGTCATCTGGTCCAGTGATTCGTCCTCTGGGTCATGGCTGTAATGAAGATCTGGGTGGACACTGTCACCTGGTCACCAGCTTGGGAGGCCTGGCCTTAATTCCCTAA